TGATAAAATTAAGCTTCTAGTCATAGTTGTGACACATATATTATACATAATATTGCTTTCCAATTGCCATATGTTAAAATATGTATTTCACTTTGATTTGTATGTTACGTACGGTAATATAACATAAAACCCAATCTACAAATATTCTTTCAGGATACAGAACTAGTTTTCTAAAACCTCCATAGGCTACACGGAAATATGTTGATAATCCCATAACATTCCACAAATATTAAATGCTATTCTGCAAATGTTTTTTCAGGGTAAAGGACTGGTTTTTTAAAACTTTCAAACCCTACATGGATGTATGTTGATACTCCCATAATGTTCCACAGGACTCTAATAGAGGATACATGATCATGAATTGTTGTGTAAAAAATTCTCGTGCATTTTATGTATATATATATTTTATATATACAGCAAATAATCTTGAGATTAAAAACACACATCTTACACTGTAAGTAGATCTCTTTTATAACTGATGGATAACCTTCTATTAATAAGACGTATTTGGATGCAGCAAATAACACATATTCAAAATAGTAATGTATGAAATTTTTTATTAATGTTTGAATCTCATGGTTTGTAAATAGATTTTTTCTTTAATATCTGAGGACATTCCAGGCTTATGTAATTACTATAGATGCACAGAATATCTCATCCCCAGCTCCTCCTATCAAGTTGAAGGAAAGTGATATTTAATAATCTAAATTAAAAACATTATAAATTAGAGTTTCGTAGACAAGTAATTTTAATAGAAATGTCAACAATAGTATGTACTTTTACCAGCTGCTAAACATACCACATTAAAGGTTAGCAAACAGCAAATAATGTTCAGATTTGAAATTGGAGTCCTCACTGTAAATGCATGCCATTATAGTACTCCTGTACATTACGTAGATACAGAGATACGTCATTTCTGACAGTAAAATAATTATTTATTGCGCTACTGAAATAAAAGGGAGCTAAATCTCTATTAAATCATTGCTAAAACATTGCTGTAAATCAGTAAACTGCAATCTCACATTATTAATAAGTAACACTAGTGTATCTTATTATGTATAAAGAAAAAGAATTAACTTTAAATTATTAAGATAAACAACTTATTTTTTATTTGACAAAAGTATACTGTACAAAGCAGCAAATATCGCGGCCGATAAATTGTTTGAAGCGAGCGCGCGCTTCCGAGCGTGTGACGCAGCGACCACACGTTCTCGCAACGTGAGCGCACCGCTAACTTTAGAGACCCTCTAATAAGAGTCTGGCCACCTTGTCCCGCATTTTGATTGGTCCGCCATTTATGCGTGCTTCGGCGAACTTCGGAAGAATTCGTGCGTTCTCGTTCACTCACTCAGTTGAGATCGCACATCGCGCAAATATCATCGTGTATTCATCGTGTGTTTTAACCTTTCGCCCATTGTCATCGTGAAGCCACGTGTTGAAGCCTTTTGTCAGTGCTGGTAAATTCATATTTTTGATAATTTAAATATCATGATTTGGTGCTCAGCCCCATTTTGCAACAATTCTACCGCCAAAGGCTATATTTGTAAAACATTTCCGAAAAACCCTGAACGTCGGGCACAATGGGTTGCAAATATGAATGTGAAGAACTGGATACCAACTGACCGCTCATATTTATGCGAGGTAAGTTTTTTTTAAACTAAAAAAAGTGACTAAACACAGGTCATGTATATTAGATGTGTTTAATTGTAGGTTATAGAATAATATATAAAATAACGAAACTGACAAATTGTTTTAAGAACGTTCTATACTTTAGACTTATTTAACATACTAATCACAAATGTGTTTTTGGAAGGTGCATTTTTCTCCAGAAATGTGGGAGCGAAGGAGTGATAAAAAACCGAAGTTAAAACCAAACGCAGTGCCAACAATTTTTGGATACTGGCTTACAGAGAAAACTGCATTTAGACAGACTGAAGATGAGGTGACAAATTTTTTCATTATTATACTGTCGAAATAATAATTGTAGCTGTACGCAATCACTAATTCTTTGCATTATGACAGTTACCTTTAACAAATTCAACGCAAAATGAACAAAATTTTGCTGAATCAGTCTTGAATGAAGAACAAAATGTTACAGACCAAGAGCACCAAACTGCTGCTAAGGTAAATATAACTGTACTTATTATTTTACTATCTATTATACTATTATATTATTATACTATAATTTTTTTTAGTATGACGATGTACATTAACTTTGACGTTTCTTTTATGACCTAGAAAGCAATTAAAATTTTGTTTTTAGTGTTGACATTAACGATAGACTAATATTTCTATTTATCAAAATATTTACGTTAACATACAATAAAAAATGTTAACTTATTCTTTTTTTTCATTAACAGCAAGAGAGGAAAAAAAAATTAGAAAAAGCTCTTGACATTCAAACCAAGCGTCTTTTAAGGATTCAGAGACAATCAAAAGCACTGAAAGATATGGTGCGTCGATTGAAATATGTTATAAGTCAAGACAAATACAGGACAGCTTTGAAAATGGTATTTAATGAGGACCAAATTAAAGCTCTATGTAACAAACGGAGAACTGTAAAGAATTGGTCCAATAAGACCGTTGAACGTGCCCTGCAATTGAAATTCATCTGTGGTACCAGCGGATATGAAGAGCTCCTCCGACAAAACATGCCATTTCCGAGTATGCGTACATTAAGACGAAAATTAGAAAACCTTAAATTTGAGAGTGGTATTTCAAAGGAAATGTTAGATTTTCTGAAATTGAAAGTACCTAATTTAGAAAATGATACTGCTCGGGGGGCGGTAGAGCCGTACCCGGATTTGCGATAAAGCGAA